TGGCTGCTCCCGGCCATCGCAGCCTCAACCTGCTGGGCTCCGGTGATCCTTCAGCCTCAGCCTTCCAAATAGCCGGAACTACAGGTGCGCACTACCATGCCCGGCTAATTTTTTGATTTATTGTAGAGATGAGGTCTCGCCAAGTTGCCCAGATGGGTCTCGAACCTGCGGGCTCCGGCAATCCACTAACCTCTGCCTCCCAAAGCGTGGGATTACAGGCTGAGCCACCGAGCCCAGCTTCAACAAATATTTGTGTTTTTTTGTTTGTTTGTTTGTTTGTTTTTTTGAGTTGGAGTCTCACTCTGTCGCCCAGACTAGAGTGCAGTGGCCGCTCCTGGCCACCGCAGCCTCGACCCGCTGGGCTCAGGCGATCCTTCCGCCTCAGCCTTTGGAGTAGCCGGAAGTACAGGCACACGCTACCACGCCCGGCTGATTTTTTGATTTATTGTAGAGATGAGGTCTCGCTGCCCAGGCAGGTCTCGAACCCGTGGGCTCACGCAGTCCACTCACCTCAGCCTCCCAAAGGCGCGGGATTACAGGCTGAGCCACTGAGCCCGGCTTCAACAAATATTTGTTTGCAATCTACTTTGTGCCAGTTTCAGAAGACAGAATTTAGCTCAAATCCCTGCTTTGTCTTTTCCAAGATACACTACTGACTGACCTCTTTGTGCCTTTGTATCTTTTTTTTTTTGAGTTGGAGTCTCACTCTGTCGCCCAGACTGGAGTGCAGTGGCCGCTCCCGGCCACTGCAGTCTCGACCTGCTGAGCTCCGGCTATCCTTCCGCCTCGGCCTTCCAAGTAGCTGGAACTACAGGCACGCGCTACCACGCCTGGCTAATTTTTTGATTTATTGTAGAGGTGAGGTCTCGCCAAGTTGCCCAGGCATGTATCTTCTTCTGTAAAGTAGGAAGAATATTATCAATAGCAACATTATTGTGATTAAATGAGATAAAGCATATGAAGTACTTAATACAATATATGACACATAGTAAGAGCGAAAAACGTGCAAACTGTTATTTTCTTTCTTTCTTTCTTTTTTTTTTTTGAGTCAGAGTCTCACTCTGTTACCCAGGCTGGAGTGCAGTGACGTGCTCACAGGCACTGCTGCCTTGACCTGCTGGGCTCAGGTGATCCTTCTGCCTTAGCCTTCCAAGTAGCTGGAACTACAGGCATGTGCCACCATGCCTGGCTAACTTTTTCATTTATTGTAGAGATAAGCTCTCACCAAGTTGCCCAGGCTGGTCGGGAACCCATGGGCTCTGGCAGTCCTCTCACCTCAGCCTTCCAAAGTGCTGGGATTATACGCGAGAGCCACTGTGCCCTGCCAAAGCTGCTGTTTTCTGCAAGACCCTATTGGAGAGACAAAACCATAATCCCTGTTCTTAAGGAGTTTTAGTCCAGTTAAACATGAAACAAGACAAACTAATAAATGTTTGGTCAGAGATTTTTTTTTTTTTTGAGTTGGATTCTCACTCTGTTGCCCAGGCTGGAGTGCAGGGGCTCACTCACAGCTACTGAAGCCTCGACCTGCTGGACTTCGGTGATTCTTCCACCTCAGCCTTCCAAGTAGCTGGAACTACAGATGCACGTTACCATGCCCCACTAATTTTTGTGATTTTTACTGTAGAGCCAAGGTCTCACCAAGTTGCCCAGGCTGGTTTCGAAACCCTGGGCTCAGCCAATCCTATCGCCTCTACCTCCCAAGGTGCTGGGATTACAGGCGTGAGCCACTGTACTCAACTTTATTATTATGATTCTTCTTGTGGTTGTAAGTAATTAGAATATGAGAATTAAATTTCTTTCTTCCTTGGGATGCCATTAGAATTAATTAATGCGTGAAAACCACTAAAGATTATTGAACTTTATGAATTGGCAGTAGGTTGTATTTAATTTTGGCTATACCTTGGATATTCATAATATTTCCTTCCAATCCCTATTGGAATACTTTGACATTTTACTTTACTTTTCAGTTCAAACAGTGAAACAAAAGTATCTATGTTTTGGCAACCCCTTCAGATCCTCTCCCACTATGGGAGCTTTTCTGTCCTCTAAATAAATCCTGCTTTCTCAAAAAAAAAAGTATCTATGTTCTGAATCACTGTGAGTATACGCAGTTCTTCATTCCTGCCTTTGCATACCATCCTACCCCTGTCAGAGTAGTGCTGCTTGCTTTTTTTTTTTTTTTGAGTTGGAGTCTCACTCTTGTCACCCAGGCTGGAATATAGTGACATGCTCACGGCCACTGCAGCCTCAAACTGCTGGGCTTAGAGGGGATCCTTCTGCCTCAGACTTCCAAGTAGCTGCAACTACAGATGCATGCCACCATGTCCGGCTAGTTTTTTTGATTTTTACTGTAGAGACGAGGTCTCACCAAGTTGCCCACGCTGGTCTCGAACCCCCAGACTCAGACAGTCCTTTTGCCCCTGCCTCCCAAAGTGCTGGGATTACAGGTTGAGCCACCACACCTGGCTGCTTGCTTGTTTTTTAGAAGCCAATAGAAGGAGATGCTGCCTTTTTTTTTTTTTTTTTGAGTCAAAGTCTCATTTTGTCACCCAGGCTGGATGGAGTACAGTGGCACGCTCACAGCCACTGCAGCCTTGACCTGCTGGGCTCAGGCAAGCCTTTTATTTCAGCCTTCCAAATCTCTGGAACTACAAGCGTTCGCCACCACTCCTAGCTATTTTTTAAAATTTATTGTAGAGACAAGGTCTTGCCATATTGCCCAGGCTGGTCTTGAACCCGTGGACTCAGGCAATCCTTTCACCTCAGCCTCCCAAAGTGCTGGGATTACAGGTATGAGCCACCGTGCCCTGCAAGATGCTGCTTTTTAGTGACTTGAAGCTGACTCAGAAGATATTTGGTAAACTTCAGCAAAATGGTGTTCTTTTTATTTAAAAAAAATTTTGTTTTGAGTTGGAGTCTTACTCTGTCGCCTACACTGGAGTGCAGTGACCACTCCCAGCCACTGCAGCCTCGACGTGCTGGGCTCCGACGATCCTTCCGCCTCAGCCTTCCAAGTAGCTGGAACTACAGGCGCATGCTACCACGCCTGGCTAATTTTTTGATTTAGTGTAGAGATGAGGTCTCACCAAGTTGCCCGGGCGGGTCTTGAACCCGTGGGCTCAGGCAA